CTAAGTTTATTGACATGAATGCAGTCATTTTCCATTTTCCATTTCGTTTGCAAAAACTTTCTCCTAGCAGGCTGCACGCTCGGTCTTAGTGAAAGTCGATGTAAATTTAGTTACTATTATTAATATTATCAGGTTCTCAGGCAGTTTTCCCCACTTTTAGTTCGCTAATTAAGAATATTTAAATGCTACATTAATTAAATTATAACATCGCTAATTGATACAGGAAAACAGGAACTAGTTGCTGCAGGTATTATAATAATAATGCTTGTTAATGCATCCCATGCAATTATATTTTAATCTCGATTTTAATCCCTTGTAATAAATAAACGTCATATTTGTATTGTCAAGACGAGTTTCATAAAGACAATAAGAGGATGCTTAGTTAGAATCATATTCGTTTATGAAGACAATAAGTTGTGTAGTATCTGTTACGATTTTGGTTTTATTCCAGCTAATTAATACTGGCTATAATCTAGTTGCATATTGTTTATGAAATGATTTCTTTTTTTATAAGAACTATAATATGACTTATACTGTTTAATAGTCGTCTTTATAATCTATGGTACAAGATATTAGGCACATGCGCATAGTGCATTGTTTTGGCGGGATCACTATAGTCTATAGGGGAGATGCGAACGTTGAAATCAATTTTGTTGATTTTTTCAAGATAAGCAAAATATTTTGAAAGTTAGGAACATTTTGTTTACTTATAGTAAGTAGATAAATATGTTTGTGTGTGTACACTGTTCAAAATTTCATGACCATTTTAACACCAAATTAACACCATACATGGTCTATATAGATACAAACCAAAATGGTGTAAATTCAAATACTAAAATAGTGTAATTTTAACTTTTACACAGTATTAAAATAAATTTTACCTGGTGTAAATTGAACTCCTTTTCAGTGTTAAATATTATGTGTTTTTGGTCAAATTAAATCATACTACACAGAAAAAAGGAAAATGGAAACAAGAAATTCCTCTGACGCATTACTATTATATTACCAGTGGTATTATTCCAGAAAATTAAACCTTCAACTCGCTAGAGATAATGTTTTTAGTGCGTTCCACCAACTTAAAATACTTCAAGTATTGACAGCTGTTTCCACCTATTTAAGGTCTCTTTAGTATCAAACAACTTGTAGTGTCACACCAAAGCAAATGACTACCTGAGCTTATATACTCTTCATGTAAGTCAACAGAGGCGAGATTTAAGAACATCACGTGGTCCACACTGCCTTTGCCGCGATCGGTACACACTATGCAACCAGGAATGCAAGGCACATTGTTTTAATCATTTTAACAGAGTGCTTTAGGTTGAAGTAACTCTTATTTTACAAACAACATATTTAGTAAACTGAACCATACAGCGGGTTGGTTTCACTAAAGTTCACACAGTTGATTTAAATAAATACTAATGGTCAACTAAATTAATATAGTTAAATGAACTATTCCTTTTTTTCTGTGTAGGTGCACTTCTCAAATATTTTTAGATAAACACCGTTTTGGTGTTTGCTGTAATGTATAACATTTTCAACCATAATTCATGGTGTTTATATTAACACCACTTGGTGTTGGATTTTGACACCACAGATATTTTAAACAGTGTATACATCTATAGGTACAATTAAAATAATGTTAAAATAACTACATAAATTAAATGAATTCGAAAACCTTGCCGCATTCTATTATGTGCACCGAACGGTGAGTGTAATTATTTCTCAACGTAAACAAAGCAACGACCTGCAGAAAAAGTGTACGGTGCATTAAAATGATCGTCCTGCAGCGAGAAAAATTGCGCTTGCTTTCACGCCAAGAAATGCCCATCGAGAATACGTATTCACTTTCTATTACTACACCGATGGTGCAATTACTGCAATTCCACGTAAAAGTCGTACGATCATCGCATAAAAAAGAAATGCATGTTTGTTATTACGCAATTCAGATGTTTGTTTACTTTGTACACTGTTCTAAAAACCAGATTCGTTAACATGAGTTTGTAGTTTGTTAAATTTATTTTGTATTTGCCAAAACTTGAACTGGTTGTGTGACTGAACGCATGACCAAATCTTTGCTTCTTACAATCTTAATTTTAAAAATTTTGAAGATTTTGAAAATATTCAATACGCTAAAGAAGTATCGGGTTTTTGCAACGGTGGACGATAGCATTGCGTGAATTTAAGAATTGTCAACAATACATTTAAAGCACAGATTATACATCATTTTTAAATAAATAGGTAGTTTTTTCACAAAAGAGGAGAAGGCAGAAGTCTTACTCGACAAATTTTGTTCAATTGCACAGCTAAATCGCGCACGTTATTTGTGTTTTACGTTGCAAGGAAAAAATTAAAAAACTTTTTTGGTACTCGATTTTGATTGATTATTCCTTATATCATTGTTTAAGAAACTTAACGCTTAAATGCTTAGGTATATAGTTACGTTAATGTGTGTATTTTATCCAAGGGATCATGGTGAATTATTGTGTTTTTAATTGTAAATAAAATTCAAGAACTAAATCGTTGCATTTTCATGTTTTGCTAAAGGATCTAATTCGGCAAGTACATTTGTTGGTGAAGAATTAACTAATGATAACTTTACCTAATATAATTTATATTTAAGTTTGGACATTTTTAAGTATTTAGTAAAAAATAATTTTTGCACAAACATAACCTTAAAATCAACCATTTTTATATTTAAAAACGGCGACAACTGCATTTTAAACAACAAAATATACCTACGAATTCATGGCAACATAATATTATATATAATTATATTAAATTAATGGTATTTTACCGTTGATTGACTTAATCAACGCTTTTAATAATGCTAAATGCTGTTTAAATTTAGACGACTTATTTGTTTAACGATTTTTACTGAATTGAAATGTTTACACTTTTCACGTTAATCACTACTAAAATGTGTATTTATTGTATCTAATAGCTACAATTTATATTTAGAGAGACTGTATGCAATTTCTTTCTTCATTCAGATTAACACTGTTTATTGGAAAACCGGTAAAAACTCAACCCAGGATTTCCTATCGAAATACACCCAACAACACAACAAATCGAGACAAGGTTTTTTTTCCGAATTTTTTTAACATTTTCCGGCTTTATTCTCAAAAACCCTCGTTTGTAACATAAGCGTTTGACAGCTGATTATTAAAAGTTCTACTTTTGTTACGATGATACTAGGGTTTTAAAATTTCCGGAAAAATTGAGCCGGCGGAAAAAAACCGGTTTTTTTTTCAAAAAAAAATGGAAAAATAGGGAAATTTTCAGAAAAATTGACTTTTTAATTTTTTAAAATTTTATTCAAAGGGAAATACGAAAAAATGCACATGTCAATTTTTTTGAAAATTTCCATATTTTTACGGATAGTATCAGAAAACTGATATCGAGAAAAAAGTGAATTTCCGACGCTGATTATAATCATATAATATTATGATTATAAAAATTATTCCTTTTTTTTTAATTCAGTAAGAATATTCTACCGGGCCGAAAAAAAACTTTTATTTAACACTTCGATTTATAAAATTATAATTTTGTTATTTAACTTCATAAATCATTCATTATTTTATAGTTAGATATTTTTAATGGACTCCTTTTTGGAACAAAAAACCCAACAGACAGTATATTTTACGTTTACTTTTATTTCTTTAAATTTAATTTAATGTTTAGTTTTATTTTTTTTGTAATAAAGGATTTTTTTTATTTAAAATAATGTTAACTTGTTGAATGCCACTTTTTACATATATATATTTTTCTCAAAAAAAGACAATTTTTCCAAGGCCTGGGAAAAAAACGAAAAAAACAGGTTTTTTCCCCAATTTTTCTGTTTTTTTTTAACGTTAATTTAACCAATTGTGCTACTTGGGAATATTTTATAAAATTATCAGTACCTACTACAAAACATCACCTAAATATTGGTTATTGTGTTATCTCCATTTTTTACCATTTTGAGGTTTATGCATTTTCGGAAAGTTGAAGTTGGTTTGTTCCATTTCCATAATAGTATTTTGATATAATTGTGTCAGTTTTTAGTGTAGGTTAGTCTAAATCCGAGTTTAGTATAAAAGGTTTAAAATTGGTTTACTCTATCTCCAAAATTTCGCTTACAGGCTTTCTTTTGCTCTATGTGTTTGTAAAAATCTGAAAATAATTAGTATTTGTTTGTGCTATATCCATATGAAAAAAATATTTTATAACTGTTTTGTGCTATCTCCAAGGAAAGCTTCCTTATAAGTATAAAATTGTTTTGTTCTATATCCACTTTAGCCAGTACACGTTTTTTCACCTATTTACATGTACATTTACATTGTATTTTGACAATAATTATAATTAATATTATTAAAGTAAATCATTATTAAATAAAGTGTTTTTTAATTCAGTTTTGTTTTATGTCCTAAAACTTTGTTATATGTCCAACAATTTGTTTCTAAAATCCAAAAATAGCACTTTTTGTTTTATCTCCAAAACGTTTTTTCCAATATTGAGGCATAAATCCAAATTTGAGATAAGAGTTGCTCAATAGAACTAATTAAACGCTAAACAAGAATATTGTTATTAATGTTTAATTAAGTTTTCATTAAAAAACAAATAAGATATTTAATGTAAAAGTTTCAAACCCGTTTATCTCGATTATAACATATTGGAAATCAATACTCAGGTGACAATTATTGTTAAATTCCATAAAAATTTAACAATTATGTCATGTTTTGTACCTATTTACTGATAATTTTATAAAAAAATTCGTGTATTATTTAAAGTATTATTATTTAAATTATCATTTAAAACAATATTTAAAATATGGGTAACAATCGAGGTAAAAATTCAGCAATTTTTTCTTAAATGGACCAAAAATTGTTTACGGAACAACCGAATTTTGACTTGAAAGTGATATTTAAAGCTGCGAAATACATTCGCGCCAATTCAAAACGATCTCCCGTAAACAGCGAGTGGTTGCTAGGCAACGAGCCGCGCGCGCACGTTGTTTGAACATGGCCGCGAGTGACCAATGTGGTGCGGAAAAAGCGGTAAAAAGTGACATTCTAGACCCGCGTTTGGACTTTTTCAGCGAAAAATTCGATCCGTTGTTGGCTCTCGCAACTCCCAATCTAAAAATACCGGTGCCGACGGCTAAATGTCACGACAACATCGGCAAACTAAAGTGTGTTTTGGAGGAGCGTGACGGCGATAAACAAAAGCCAGCTGTTGCGAGAAAGCGAGACGTCAGGCCCGAGGCGGGAAGTTCAAAGAGCTTCGTCGAAAGTGGTCGCAGATTTTTACCGCATCAAAGTAAGGTTTACATTCTATTTTATTGTGTTAAATTGGGTAAACCATCTTATACGGAAAATATATTATATTAAACAATTAAAACATGTTGGCGTTGGTATTTAGAGTACTTAATTTAGATGAATACTAGGGTGAGCCGATTTTACATGTAAGTAATTTCTAAAATTTAAAAATTTGAAATTCTGCGTTTAAGAAAAAGTTGAGAAATAGGAAATTAAATATTTTTTTTGATATCTTTATATTTTGAACTGCCACAACGCCTCTAAAATTTAAAAGTAATTCAATAAAAATTAAAATTCTGCAACTATTATCCTATGATGTTTTTTTTTCTTTTTTAATGTTTTGAACTGCAAGTGACAAACTGTAAATTTTAAATCATGTTATTATTGAAATGACGTCGTTTTTTTTTTAAGATTTTAATGTTTGACAGTTGCCTTCGCTGTTTATATTTATATTTATAAATTATAATATTGTGACAGCCTCAATTGAAATCACGCAAAATTTGGCTCAAAACAGGATTATAAATTATAAAGATCCCTATTCGTCCAACAATTGCTTTTGTTAAGGCAAAAATATCATTTTTATAAAAATTATTTATCTACAAACGCTGCTTTCAGTAATAGCATTTGCATTAATTATAAAGTAAATTTAACGAAATTTAAGTATAAATATATATATATATATATAAATATAATTATTATTATTTATATATAATATAATAATAATATATAATAATAATAATATATAATTATTATTATTTGTCCAAAAAACAGTTTTATACCGTTTACAAAAACGTTTTGTGGTATTAATGAAATTAATTGTTAATTCAATAAATTATTTTCATTGTAACAATGGTCACATTTTCAACCTACTGTTGTGTTGGGTAGTTTTTTTTTAATAATTGCAAGGCATTAAAACAAATTATTTATTATAACAAAAAAATTAACTCATATTATATTATAAAAATATATATAAACTCACTTTTTTAACAAGTCTGCTTCATTTATAGAATAGACCTTAAATATTTCTGTTAGAAAACGTCGAATTTTAATTTTCTTAATGATCTTTTTGATATTTTTATCATGCTAGATTTTACCACACTTCGCTCGCACAAGTAAAATTAATAAGATTATAACACAGACTGTGGATGATAAAGTTATGTTCACAAAGGATAGCGCTGGCCCTTTCCCCCTCTTTTTAAGGGAAATAACAAAAATTTTGTTACCATTGTAAACAATAGTAAATATTAAAAAAGTCTTTTTATAGGAATAAAATATTTTTGTTATTGTTCTTAACGTAAGCTATTAACAAAGATTTTCTAACTGAAATAAAATTAATTTGAATTACAACGATAGTAATTTAAAAAAGACAAATATGCCATAGTAAAATGAACAAATTTTACTATAACAACCATAGAAAAAGGATATATAACAACTGCGCATTACTTTATGTAAGCACAATTCACACACAACTATAGATTTGTAAGTTCGACAATGATTTAATAAACATAAAGTATTTCTTATTGCCATGACAATATGATAACAAGTATTACTTTGTTGGATGAACATTTTTTTTATAAAAACTCAACATTGCTGCTTCATTATAGTAAATGAGAATTTTATTAACATTAAACAAAGTTTATTCTGTAAATAAAAATAATCTCATTATTGACAAATCGTAGGTTTTTGTCCCAAGAAGACTGAAAATTTAATAAAAAAAGTGGTACCTATATAATTTTTTATAAATATCATTAAATAATAAGGCTTTTTTAACCAAACCCTGTAATGATGTAGCTTGTAGGAATTTATTTAGAAGTTTGTAGGAAATAATATTACTATTTTAAAAGTTTAAAGTTGGATTTTAAAATGGGAATTCCAATAAATGCCACTGTAACTTTTTGTATGTAAGGCATGCCTTAAAAAATGTATTAACATCCTAATTAAATTTAAATTTGACACAAAACTAAAGAAATCATACATAATAATAATAAATAAAAAAGGATACAATTAATTTTTTTTATCTGGACTCGTGTTATTTTGTTAGGTTGGTGGCTTATGCCAGTTTGACTTAGTATTTTTAGTATTTAAAAATGGTACTTCTGCTAAAGAATTTAATTAAATACTTTGACACTGTCAAATTGACAATAATATTTATTATTGATAATTTACTTGTCAATTTTAAATAAAAAGATAATTAGGTATGCCAAAAATAATAGCAACGAATTCGAATGTAAAAACCTTTTTGAGGGCAAAACTTCATTTTGATAAAATTATGCCAAATGTCACAATGAAAGAAAAATTACATGGCCTTATGGACATTTTTGGAGTAAAAAAGTAACGAATTTGGTTTTATAAATATTACATCACGCATTATTTTCACATTATTCACCATTGGACAACATTTACGTTCACAAAAAATTTGAATTTCTTTTATATAAATTCTTTTCAAAGCGAAGATTATTATCCGCTAGGAATACTTTCTCTTCTGGGCTGTAAAGCAACCTATATTTAACTACTTTTTTATATGATTTTACTCATCCAAGCACCACCAAAGCCTAATTAGTTGCATTTTTAGCTACGAATTTCGACAACTCAATTTGACAACTGCACAATGTAACCTACAATAATTTATACATAACCACAATTAGATTTATAACTAGCTTAGTTTGTTTTAATCAATGCGACCTACTTGACAACTGTATTTACCAACCAAAACCCTAAATTTGCAACGTTGCCGCAGTCCAGATAAAAAAAGAACTTTATGTATATTGAATTAATCGCTATGAAACAAAAATATCCTGTGTAGCCAGATGTTAAAAAAATTTGGTCCCAACAGTTCCGTTTTGCATATGGCCTAGGGTGATTCATTTCCGCAAAGTTTTTGTTTTCTTCGGTGCTCAAGCAAAATATTAATCTGCATATAGAAAAAAAATTCTCAACAAGTTTGAGCTCTTAATATAAATTTTAAGTAGGTACTTACTATTTAAATTTAAAGTTTTACCGTTTAAAATGCAAGTAAAAAATATATATTTTTTCAAATTTCTAATGCTTACCCACCTTTGACAATATTGCAGATCGGTTTAATACACCTTATGGGGAATTTCACGCTCTTTAAAATTGCTTTTGAGTTTTTTTTTGTAACTCGCATTGGTTCACCAGTAGGAGTCGTCAGAGGACAGTTTTTGAAAAAAATCGGTTTTTTTTTATTTTTTTCTAACAAACCGCAAAAAGTAGGGAGATAAAAGGGCTGAATCATAAAAAAAGGTATCCAACCAATATTTAATGAATTTACAGCCATTTTTATAACTGAAAACGTAAGAAATTGATAATTACCAACTCATAATGTTATTTAGATTGATTTTTTTCTATTTATTATCATTATATTTCCCTACACTAAGAAGTTTTTTAAAATTATTGATTTCTCACTTATAATGAATATGAAAACAACAGATAAATTCATAAAAAAACAATAAGAAAATTGTAGCGTGGATTTTGTAATTTTTCAACATTTCTGTCATATAGCAAAAAAATATAAATGAAGCGAAATTTGAAATATGTTACATAACCTTCTGTACCTATATTCCGATTAAAGTTTTGTTGTTTTTTTATGAATTTATGTGTTGTTTTCATATTCATTATGAGTGAGAAATCATAATAATTTTAAAAAAGTTCTTAGTGTAGGGAAATATAATGATAATAAATAGAAAAAATCAATCTAAATAACATTATGGGTTGGTATTTATCAATTTCTTACGTTTTCAGTTATAAAAATGGCTGTAAATTCATTAAATATTGGTTGGATAACTTTTTTTTTATGAATCAGCCCTTTTTTCTCACTACTTTTGGCGATTTGCTCGAAAAAATAAAAAAAAAAACGATTTTTTTCAAAAACTGTCCTTTGACGACTCCTACTGGTGAACCAATGCGAGTTACAAAAAAAACTCAAAAGCAATTTTAAAGAGCGTGAAATTCCCCATAAGGTGTATTAAACCGATTTGCAATATTGTCAAAGGTGGGCAAGCATTAGAAATTTGAAAAAAAAAATATTTTTTACATGCATTTTAAACGGTAAAACTTTAAATTTAAATAGTAAGTGCTTAAAATTAATATTAAGAGCTCAAACTTGGTGAGAATGTTTTTTCCTATATGCAGAGTAATATTTTGCTTGAGCACCGAAAAAAAAACAAAACCTTTGCGGAAATGAATCACTCTAATATGGCCAATATGAATGCAATATTTCCCTACATCCAATTCATAAAATTCGCATTCCTACCGAATCAAAATTAGAACGGTTATGTAAGAAACAATAATAAATAGTAAGTAAGCTTCGTGCCAAGTCTGTCAGGCAGTAGTGCGTTGCCCTCTAATAAAGCTCGCGCAACTTTTACTAGCCTGTATCGCGGTACTTACTTTTCGTTCCACGTTAGTTCAACTTATGCACAAAACTTTTTTGTCAATGATTGCTCAGTCATTGACTAAACTTTAAGAACTATGGCAACGTTGCAATTTTATTTAAGGTTAATTTTCGTTCAAGTTAATAGTTTATCTACAATAAGTTGTATGTATGTATTTATCAAAATCCCAGCTGATCCTATTTTAAAGTTTTGCAAACTTTTTTGTTTTTCTATTTCTACATATTATTTTGCAATTATTGTACTAAAACTACCTGTACAATTTTAATAAAATTAAGCAAAATAATAAACTTTGTATCATTTAAATTACTTTACTCCCCAGTATTAATTAATTTATTGAGTCACCTATTATTTTTTACAACTCAAAACAAAACATAACAAAAAAACGAAGATTTATATCTTAAATATTTTTTATAACAAAAAATACTGGAAGTTTGTCTATGAAATAATTACTTGCAAATTTTGTAAAACAATAATTAAGGTGGTTCTGAAAAAAATTGCTATACGTTATAACGCAAGTGACATTTTGCTTTAGTTGTTTATTTATTGCATCCTTTATAAAGTTAAAAATAGTATTTTAAAATGAATATTA